CCCTAAGTACAGTCAAAACACTCAAGAGTTGTCTATTTCTCCGCAACAAGTGACTATTAATCATCTGTACCTTCCATCTGTCTAAAGTTTTAACTTGAACTCAGGAAGCGCTTTGAACATATCCCTGTGGCGTGGAAAGGGGCTATATAAATGGCCTATTATCATTTATTATTATTTATCAAACCCAATATAACATGTTTATATCACTCTTCACCAAATGTCACATGTGTATATTGCCTGATACCACATGTCTATATCACCCCACATCAAATACCACATGTCTATATTACCCCACACCACATGCCACATGTCTATATCACCGCACACCACATGCCACATGTCTATATCACTCCACACCACATGTCACATGTCTATATCACTCCACACCACATACCACATGTCTATATCACCCCACACCACATACCACATGTCAATATCACTCCATACCACATGCCACATGTCTATATTACCCCACACCACATGCCACATGTCTATATCACTCCACACCACATGCCACATGTCTATATCACTCCACACCACATGCCACATATCTATATCACCTGACACCACATGCCACATGCCTATATCACCTGACACTACATCCCACATGTCTATATCACTCCACACCACATGCCAAATGTCTATATCACTCCACACCCCATGTCACATGTGTTTATCACCCCACACCACATACCACATGTCCATATCACCCCACACCACATGCCAGATGTCTATATCACCCCACACCACATGCCACACATGTCTACATCACTCCACACCACATGCCACATGTCTATATCACTCCACACCACATGCCACATGTGTATATCACCCATGCCACATACCACTTGTCCATATCACTCCCCACACCACATGCCACATGTCTATATCACCCCACACCACATGCCACCATGTCTATATCACTCCCACACCACATGCCACATGTCTATATCACTCCCACACCACATGCCACATGTCTATGTCACTCCACACCACACACCACATGTCATATCATGTACACCATATTGCCACATGTCTATGTCACACATGCCACATGTCACATGTCATATACACCACACACCACATACCACATGTCTATATCACCTGATACACCACATACCACATGTCTATATCACCCCCATACCACATGCCACATGTCTATATCACCCCCACACCACATGCCACATGTCTATATCACTCCACCACACCATGTGTACATATCACTCTATATCATGTCACATGTGTTTTCACATGCCACATGCCACATGTCTATATCACTCCACACCACATGCCACATGTCTATATCACTCAACACCACATGCCACATGTCTATATCACATATGTCTATATCACTCCACACCACATACCACATGTCTATATTATACACTCACTACATGTCTATGTCTATCACCTCCACACCACATGTCTATATATATCACCTGTCTATATCACCTGACACCACATTCCACATGTCTATATTACATGCCACATGTCTATATCACACCTGACACCACATACCACATGTCTATATCACATGACACCACATATATGTCTATATCACCCCACACCACATACACACATGTCTATATCACTCCACACCACATGCCACATGTCTATATCACTCCACACCACATACCACATGTCTATATCACATGCCACATCTTCTATCACTCACATGCCACATGTGTCTATATCACCCCACACCACATTACATGACCCACATGTCTATATCACCCCACACCACATACCACATGTCTATATCACCCCACACCACATACAACATGTCTATATCACTCCACACCACATGCCACATGTCTCTATCACTCTACACCACATGCCACATGTGTATATCACCCCACACCACATACCACATGTCCATATCACCCCACACCACATGCCACATGTCTATATCACTCTACACCAAAATGCCACATGTCCATATGTCCCCCACACCACATACCACATGTCTATATCACTCCCCACACCACATGCCACATGTCTATATCACCCCACACCACATGCCACATGTCTATATCACTCCACACCACATGCCACATGTCTATATCACCCCACACCACATGCCACATGTCTATATCACCCCACACCACATACCACATGTCTATATCACCCCACACCACATGCCACATGTCTCTATCACCACACCACATACCACATGTCTATATCACCCCACACCACATGTCACATGTCTATATCACCTGACACCACATCCCACATGTCAATATCACCCCCACACCACATGCCACATGTCTATATCACTCCCACCACACCACATGCCACATGTCTATATCACTCCACACCACATGTCTATATTACTCATACACATGTCACATATCACTCCCACACCACATGCCACATGTCTATATCACTCCACACCACATGCCACATGTCTATATCACTCCACACACCACATGCCACATGTCTATATCACTCCACACCACATGCCACATGTCACATCACTCCACACCACATACCACATGTCTATATCACTCCACACCACATGCACATGTCTATGTCTCCATTCCACATGTCACATATCATATCACACACCACATACCACATGTCTATATTACTCACATGTCTATATCACTCACACCACATGCCACATGTCTATATCACTCCACACCACATGCCACATGTCTATGTCACTACATGCCACATGTCTACATCACTCCACACCACATGCCACATGTCTATATCACTCCACACCACATACCACATGTCTATATCACTCCACATCACACCACATGTCCACATGTCTATATCACCTGACACCACATATCCCACATGTCTATATCACCCACACACCCACATGTCACATGTCTATATCACTCCACACCACATGCCACATGTCTATATCACCCCACACCACATGCCACATGTCTATATCACTCCACACCACATGCCACATGTCTATATCACTCCACACCACATACCACATGTCTACATCACTCCACACCACATGCCACATGTCTATATCACTCCACACCACATGCCACATGTCTATATCACTCCACACCCACATGCCACATGTCTATATCACCCCACACCACATGCCACATGTCTGCATCACCCCCACATATCCACATGTCTACATCACTCCACACCACATGCCACATGTCTATGTCACTCCACCACATACCACATGTCTATATCACACCACATTCCACATCTACATGTCATGTCACTCCACACCACATGTCTACATCACTCACATGTCTATATGTCTACTCCACACCACATGCCACATGTCTATATCACTCCACACCACATGCCACATGTCTATATCACTCCACACCACATGCCACATGTCTATATCACTCCACACCACATGCCACATGTCTATGTCACCCCACACCACATGCCACATGTCTATGTCACCCCACACCACATGTCTATATCACCTGACACCACATGCCACATGTCTATATCACCTGACACCACATGCCACATGTCTAAATCACCCAAACCACACCCAACATGTCTATATCACTCCACACCACATGCCACATGTCTTTATCACCCCACACCACATGCCACATGTCTATATCACTCAACACAACATGCCACATGTCTATATCACTCAACCCCCCACGACCCATATTACATGACACCATATGTCTATATCACCTGACACCACATACCACATGTCTATATGTCTATATCACCTGACACCACATGTCTATATCACCTGACACCATCATGTCTACACAATGATGTCTACATGTCACCACATGTCTGTATCACCCCACACCTGACACCACATGTCTATATCACTCTGTCTATATCACCTGACCCATACCACATGTCTATATTACATGACACCACATGTCTATATCACCTGACACCACATACCACATGTCTATATTACATGACACCACATGTCTATATCACCTGACACATATCTTTATCACCTGATACCACATGTCTGTCTGTACCACCTGACACCACATGTCTATATCATCTGACACCACATACCACATGTCTATATTACATGACACTGCATGTCTATATCACCTGACACATATCTTTATCACCTGATACCACATGTCTGTCTGTACCACCTGACACCACATGTCTATATCACCTGACACCACATACCACATGTCTATATTACATGACACTACATGTCTATATCACCTGACACCACATGTCTATATCACCTGACACCACATACCACATGTCTATATTACATGACACCACATGTCTATATCACCTGACACATATCTATATCACCTGATATCACATTTCTGTCTGTAACACCTGACACCACATGTCTATATCACCTGACACATATCTATATAACCTGACCCATATCTATATCACCTGACAACATACCTGTATCCTTTCACACTTTACGTCACCTGTCTATCAGTCACAGTACCGGTACTGTAATGTTGTCTTTGACACACGGTAAATAATGGGCATGTTTAGTTCATCCTCAATGAAACTAAGATATGGTAGTACCTAAATACATGGTGGCCATGATAGTTCACGTGAATTATATCACGTAAATCATTACGCGGAAGTTGTATCATATCAGTCGTATAGATTTAAAATATTCCACCAGCATTGAATAAGTGTTGAAACATTTTGTATGGACACTGTTAATAAGAACAATCCTTTTAACCGACACTGTAACCATTATCTGTGCTATTCCTCTTTATAGATTATACTCTGTGATAACCACACATACACGAGAAACAAGTGATGATGCCACGTAATTCTCCGCCATCTGTTTGGAGCAATTATTGCAGTCTGAGAGCACTTCAATCCACCGCTACCTCAGAAACAATCGCAGCTCCATGTTCCTTGCAAAATCTATATAAAGCTAGTTTCTCGTTGATAAAAGAGAATGATTAAGACCGTACAGGCACCAATGATCTACTGCCATTAACGAAGTAGGATCAGTGGTTTAATTTAAGAGGGTAACGTACAGTTCTTCTGTCGCTACGGTTTCATTTGGGTTGGGCAATACTTCCCGGATATTAGCGGAGCCATTTACAACACAGAGTACAAATACTGGCCGCTAGGCCGAGTCTGGCAGTCGCCCGATATCAGATCAATAGATTCTCTTAGCTTCTCGTAGTGAGCAGGTTTATCACTGAAAGTTCCCAACCACATCGGATGAAAGTTGTTAAGTCAGTGGCCTGTCACCAAGTGTCTTTGAAACAGGTGTGTTTCCACGTCAGGAAACATCGTGAGTATTTGAATAATTCCTAAGAAGAGGGATCTACCTCAGTGATTGAAACACCGGGATCAGAATTAAAATTCGATCAGAATTTAACCTTCTAAAAATAATTTGAAGAATGTAAGTGGAACGTTGAAAAAGTGAGCTATGTTCGTATCCCACCTCCACCATACATGGACACGTTGCCTGTGACAACACAACCTTTGGGAATGATGTCGCGTTGTCGGCGTCAGATGATTAAACCTCCTCATCAGGGCTGAAGAACACTGCTGCCATACACCAGCATAACACAGGGCGAACTTAAACAGACGCTAACACAGAACACGCAGCCAGCTTAAAGTGGCGCCTTGGCAGCGATCTCTGCAGGGGAATCATGTCATAGGCCACCCTGTGATTGGTGTAGGGGTCAGTCTGTTCCGTCCGCTAGTCCTCATCATGTGCCGTCTTTGGACTTACCTCTTCATAACTTTCCTGTGTAAAGGTAAGCTTCAGTAAACTTCTATCTACCTGATACTTCTATGACTGACCTGGTATTCCTTACCTAATGAACTGAATGTCGATTTTCACACTCGTTGTTATGCATAGCTGTTTCACGGCTCTTATCGGGGTTTTGGCGTTTTCTGACTATTTATAACATTAGACGTTTTGCATCATTTGATTTCAAAATTGAAAAAAGAAACACAAAAGTGTCCGAATTATGAATTTTAAGTATGATAAATGTGTACTCCCTGTCTCTGAAATTGTTATAAATGACTATGAATATATCCTGTTTGTGAAAGCATATGTCTAGGCCCTCGTTAACCAGCAGCAGGTGTTTATCTTGTCGGTGCTGGTATACACACAGGCCATCATATTGTATTGGTGTGCCATGTCCATACGCTGTTTCCGGGGCTGTGGGTTAGCCTATCTTGTAAAGCGTTCGCTTGTCACGCGAAGACCCGGGTTCGATCCCAACATGGGTACAATATGTTTTGTTAAAAGCTGCGTAGAGCAGTAATAATAATAATGATAATGATAGCAATAACAAGAGCATATTTGTACCGCGCATATATCCATGCCTAAGATACTCAAAGCGCACAATCACAATCTGACTATTATTACCCCGGATACCCCAAGCTGCCTGTGAAGCGTTAGAAGGTGATAGTCACATGACTTATCCCACCGGGTACCCATTCTCTGCTTGGTGAACAGGGTAATTTTGAACAAACTCACTTGCCTAAGGTAAGACAACATGTATCACATGTGCTTCGTTGTGGGGCAGGACTGAAGTCCTAAAAACTCTCAGGAGTCAAACTGCCAAACACAGTCACCCATCCAAGCACTCTCCGCGCTCAACTGATTTGTGACCTGCGTTCTATGCGCAGGACAACACACGACACAATGTCTCCAATATTCGTGTGTCGCAATCTACGAAAGAAGGACATTTTAAGTGTAATCAGAACGCTTGATGAAGATTGTATCTTTGCCAGCGTGTTTATATATATTAAGGTCAATGTCAATTATAGTTTCACATATGTTCCAGCAGTATCAATAATCTAAATAATGACTTACTATTCTTACATTCAATTGTCGAAGCACACATGCTGAAGGAAGGGTCACAGTCACCAAATCAATTGCTCGGGTCTCCGGCTGAAGCTGACCAGTTTGTCCGCGTAACCACCAGATGCCACGAAAAATGTTGTTTTAGCAATTGGACATTTGAACTTCTGTCGCACCCACACCAAAAATATAGTGTAGTTTTCCTAAAAAACGTAAATATATACTGACACCATGAACTTCAGGTCATTTCTTTCTAAAAAGTGATCATTTGTATTGCATACATATAGATGGAAATTTTCAAAGTGATGCCTATACGTTTTGTTAAATCTTCATCAAAGAAATGTTCAGTCAACGAAGCAAAGTGCGTGTGGGTCTCCCAAAAGCGATTTGAGTTCATACAATGCAGTCGCCTCCCTATGACAATGACCACACGCCTTCCTCTCTTGTCACAGACTGGTTTAATGGAAAGTGTCGAGGTTGATTGCTAGGTGTGGCATTCTATAGATGTTGTGCTGATGTAGGTCAGCACTGACGATTCGTGAGCAATTGTGTCGATCCACACGCCTTACAAGCGGGACAACAAAGGGTGCCGTTGTGCCAATAGTGATCCATCCTGCTCTGTCATAGGGTCTCAGATGAACTTTGGCTTGACGTTCATTTCAAGGTCACAAATATGGCGATTAATAAGAGCAGCACATTAGGTGGCCGTTGAGCATGGCGATGAACAGCATGTAGACGATAATCGCCTGACAAGTGACTCGTACTCCAGTGGCCCCGTGGAAGTCTGTAGCAATTTTATTCACTGTTGTAGCTCGATTTCGTACAGCCTGATTTTGGATAAATCGATCCTGTATTTCAGTTATTGATCTGGGACGCGCTGTGCGGGATGATCGTTTTCAGTTGTTTATACCTGTCTGCTACTACACACAGTGAAACACCGAAAGTATTGGCCACTATGCGCTAGCTGTTGCAAGTTGCCAGCATGACCATATCCCGTAGACGGGATGCAGACTCTGCATCACCAGTTCACACACAATGCAATGACACCCAGTAAATCATAACGGTATGATAACAGTAATCAATAAGGTGGACAGAACTGGTCCACAGAGATTTATCGACCGTCCTTGGAAGTGTCAAAATTACGAATGACACTCTACTCCGTGGGGCACGTGCAAACTGTTTCATGTATTTAGTTATCATGTTTTACAAAGATAAACGTATTTCCGTGTTGCTATGTCAATCGGAAGTGCATCGAGCCAGTTTGTCTACTGCTGGTTGTTTCGGAACTGCACAGAATCGGTTTGTCGTCTTTCTGGTTTCCCCTTACAATCACTGTTTGTTAAACATCTGTTTTCTCCCGATTTTACCATTTTTGTTCAATTAGTTAGACGTGTATCTCGAATCAGTTGATGATAAAGCCCCTTGACTATATATCATGTCCTGTGAAACAGCAGCATCGGGGAATCTGAATCTTGGGAGCTGTCATCCATACCCGTCCTGGGTCGATGACCAGTTCAGTACAACTGGTAACGGCTCCGTCTTCAGTCCACTCTCTATGTTGCGGCCCTTTTCTGCCCATTGAATCCCACCATTGCCGTTTTGTTAAACTGTTATAATCGTAGATTGCTGTGAGGAACAGGAAAGTAGGACTTTATGTAGTCATTTGATAAAGTAAAGTAAACTTTAGAACAAGAATCCGGATAGGAATAAATTACTTTTTCAACAAAGAACAGCAGTACTCGTAAAATGGTATTTAGAAAACAACACGTATCCTCACTGATTTTCATAACTAATGATTATAAAAGTATGCAACAATCGTCACCTGAAACATGGCAAGACAGAAGAAGGTGTGTCAGTCAAATTCTGGGGGACAAGTTATTGACCATCTCGTGGAAAGCCAGGCGTAGACCTGTACTTAGTGATGCACGTTAGAAACAGAACTTTAGAATGTCCATCTAAAGGATAAACTTCCGGCAGAATACAAATGTTGAGTTTTTAATTGAACACTTGAAAAACAGTCATAAATACTTGTGGTGTACCCGTCCTTATGTATTATTTTGGTATTGTTGATTGGACGAACAGGACACGATTAACGTGGAGGCTGTTCATGAAAAGGCAGTTTTGCACGCAGATATTTTTCTGATTATTCTCTAGTGAAGCATGTCAAAACTCATAATGAAAACAACTTAAGGCATTTCACATTTTCGTAAACGAGCCAAGGATGTTGACCACAATGCCAATGGTGACGGATCATGGATCAGTGCTTTTCGGCGGTAAGGAAATGAGTGTTACCAAGTGACATATCAAATCAACAGAGGTTCATTTTGTTATCAAGCAAAAGCTATCTGAACGTTCACTGCACTCGTGTTTATGTGGCGAGTTTTGAGAACAGTAACCCTGTTAGCGGCTCTTGGTAGAGTTTGAAGTTGTGTAAAATTGTTGCCCCACGGAGAGTCCATGTCATTCAACTTATTTTTATGCCGACCATTGGTTTAATCGTAGATTATGTGTGTGTTTTAATGTCTGGCTTAACCGTTGGGCCTGCTAGGAACCATGTAGGCACCAGAGTCCCCATACCGATAACATGGCGATTGATTTACACATATTTACTGTTATCGCCGGTGATTTTAATATAGACATTCAAAATGAGAGTAACATTACAGACAAACAGACTTTATTTAAAAATTAAGGCCTCATGGCCCAGAGTACATCACAATAGCGGTAATAATACGGTGTGGTTGTATAGTGAGATCATATACATATTTGGGTTCTCTTTAAAAAGATAGCAGCATTTTTTATCAATGATAAATCTCTGCATGCTAATAACTTACAGAATTTCATCCTTGTGGGAGTATTGATATAAAAGGAAGGTACATACACTTTTCTAAGAGACTCATAACATGGACAGATTAGAGTATTATGATATTCATCTTGTGTCTCATGTAAACAACGTGTGCAGGTTATATCGTTTATGTTATCATTGTTACATTGCCTATACTTCTGGACTTTGAGATAATGAGACTGACACCTTAATTTAACAAACAGTTTTAATAAATTTATAGAAGGAAAGATAATGTGACTTGTTTAGTCTTGTATACCAGTCTTGAACATTTATTTCAATACAGCGCTTTTTAAAGGAGAATACGAACGAAAACAAAACTTTTGATATATTGTAAACGATATTCTAAAAGTCACATTCCGTGATTAATATTGAACAAAAAGTTTGTAAAATAACAATAAAAACACAAAAACGTACTCGTATTTCCGCCTATTACGGAAACTCCCGACAGTTAATGAGCAGAGGGGGTATCACGTGACATGACGTCATATGTGCCTGTTGCTGATGGCTTCCTCTTTGATTTTACCTCACAACTTAACAGTGTCCGTGGATTCTGAAGCAATAAAAGATGTTCCTGATGTCATTGCTGAAATGGATGTTAGACCGTATCAATACGATCCGATTTTACATCTTGCAAGACAATCTTCCACTGAAGATGAAGAAGAAGAATCAAGCGAAACGGAGGCACGGCTTGAGGTCAAAATAAATTTAAAAATAGACCATATCATTAACAAGATTACTATTTGTCAGCAAAATGTCATACAGTTCCAGCCAGCAAACTCACCCCTATAAAAATATGACCAGTCACTAAGAATTATTTAAAAAAAATGTGATTACAGTTCATTTTGTGTCAAATGGATGACTGTAGGGTGTCTGGGATTTAAAAACAAAATAATTATGCTTCAGACGACGGAAAATAAAAATTACCTGCTTCAAAAATTACACTGTAATTATTTTGTTGAAAAAAATTAGGATCCTAGTTCTCATTAATAAAGTATCAAGTCAGAGATAATATTCGCGACGCAGATAAGTTATTCCCCGAAAACTGGTTAATTATAAAATACAAGTCAGGACAACGTATGTTTCCCCATTGTTTGGTTATG